GGTACCAGGTACCTGGTACTGCACAACAACCAAGTTTCCATTCGGGTTCTGAATTTAAAGACTCTAAGATGATTCAGCTGTAATGTCGTTCTGGAAGTTCACGACTCGCCCTGTACCTCGCGGGAAATCGTCACGTAGACCAAGAGTCAGTATGCGACCACTCGTTGCAAGAAACAAATTCAAGAAAGAGTCCGCCAGCTCCACTCTGTCGTCAAATCGGAAAAGATTCACGTCCACATGTAATCTTCCGTCCCAAACAATAATCACGCTCCCCTCTTTGGCAACGTAGGAAAGCACGCCACCTTCACCGACGCTGTGATCAACGCGATATTCGATCTCGGTGAAACCAGCTTTCGGCAACGCTTCTTTCAGTTGCGATGCAAAGATGTCAAGAGAAGGCATCGTCACATCATCCTTGAAATCAAATTGAAGCAATGTTTCTCTTCCGAAAGGCTCTTGTTCGCTGTACTGCAGTTTTCCAGGCTCCTCATCGTAGTCTGCCTGCGAAAACTCTCTCGGCTGTAGTTCCTCCCGATAGTTCCACTGCGCGCCATTGATTCTAACGAGTTCAATATCAGCATTTTTGCCCTCTAGTCGCGATTTGATATTGCCCTCTGCAGTTGCGAGGCTTTGGAAAATAGAGTTATCCCCAACAGTCACAACGTCAAATTCGATTTCAATGTTCCCGTCTTGGGCCAGAAACTTGGCATGAGCCGCCGGGTCGTACCGGACATCTCTTCGATACCGATCGAGAAAGTTGTGGTGGATAGAGTGCTCTACTTCATCACTCTTGAATGACATGCCGAAGAAAAGGTTCTGGTTGGGATTCGTGTACCATTCTCTGAACTTGGCAATGCCCCAGATACTGTTGAAAATCTGGATCATTTCGCGTGTTACAGATCCATCTAACGCAAAAGCATCCAAATTTTTATCATTTTCCTTCAGTTCTTTCAATTTAGCCATCATAGCCTTCTCGCATACAAACATGTGTGACAACTGCTCAGGACTCAAGTCGTCCTCTTCCTCGTCCTCCTCATCATTAACATGCATATGCTTCAAACCAGGGCATGTCCAGAAAGTAACTACCTTGGAGGCGATAGGTAACTTATCCAAAATGTCTTTGATTGCGCAGTCGTCGTCATCCTCGTAGCCACAGACGATACCAACTGTCAAGGATGAGCTGTTTGATGGTGCAATCTTCAAAAATTCCTCAACGGCAGCTTCTGTCAGCCCTGAAACCACCACTGCCTGATCTGATGACTCAATGGTTGCCTTTTCATCACAATTTCGAAACTGAACAATCTGAGGACCAATCTTTGCTTGGTCTTCTCGCCATGTTGATGATCCGTACATTCCTCCCACGACTACTCGGAACGCGGAAAGAGACTTTGAATTGAAAGCCGCCAATAGAAGTGTTTGTAACTCATCAAATGCATGAAAGGCTCCCCACAAATTCACGTCAATAGCGACATAGTTGCGGTCCGTCCAATGGCGCGCCAAGACGTATCCTTCTTCCAGGATGACAGCGGCCAGCAAAGTCGACTTACTTGTAGAGGTTTGGGTCGACACATGTTTCAAGCCGGCCTTTTTCACAGCGTCGGCAATGGATTCATCCAGGCGCACTTCCCCCTTGACGTCTTCAATATCCAATACATGTAAAATTCCTGCACTACGACCTTGTTCTGCAACATCTTTGGCTTGTGGAAGGGAGTCGCACTTTCCGTCGGCACGGGCATTGTTCTTTCGGTAGTCATGCATGTACTCGAATCTATCTTCAATCTCGTCGACAGGATCCAATAGATAATTGTGAACTCCATGATCCGTTTGTAACTTGTGAAAGAAATCGGCACGATTGGAACCCAATGCCATGATTTGGCTACAAATCTTGGGAGAATCATACTTAATTTGCACCGTGTAATCAAAGACATCACTCATTTCATCAATGTATAACTCGTTCTTGACCATGATTCCTTCTGGCTTGAGCAAGAGTGCCAATGCCGCAAAGACATCAAGTTCTGTCGTGACGGACAGGGCCATGGCAGTTTCTGACAAATCCACCAGCACCAAATCAAAGGATTGCCAATAGTCTTTGGACAGAAGCAAAAGACTCTTGGTAGCATCACCAAACCACCACTCGACACGGTCGTCGTCAAAATGTGGTTGGGTATGGAAATACTTGAATGACTTTCTGGTAATCACTTGATCCAACTCCAAGCCGACCACCTTTTCCAAATTCTTGTATTTGAGTGCTTCGTGCAACAGCATGGAATCACCACCTCCCACAAAGAGAACCCTCTTGACCGAGTCCAAAAAGCGAGCTGCATAATTGGCCGAGTATTCGTGGTATTGGGGCCGATAGGAAGAACAAATTTGGACAATCTCATCAATGTCCATGCAAACATCACCAGTCTCATTGTGTCGATTGAACAAAGCATGCTGATATGAAGTTTGGATATCCTCCAAGGTTTCATATCCCACAAACTCCATCCATTCACTATTGTCACAAGTAGGACTAATGTAATCCAAATCATCCTGTTCGTCCTCCATTTCGTCATAGTGATTGATCATGCGGGGATAACATTGACCACCCGCTTCCGCAGACGAATCCAGTAACATGCAAACTTCCTCACCACCTTTTGCAATAATGGGCATGTAGTGAGTCTCTTCGACATCATCTATATCATTGTGAGCATAAGCCAAGGCATTGGCCAATTGACGATTGTATTCCCAAATCAAGTCCCATTCTTGTTGGTCTTGGACTTGATCTTGATATAGATTAAATGCCCGGGTCCTCATGAAATGCAAATGAAAGACACTACTTTCCAGACGCTTGATGAGTTCCCGTAGGTATCCTTCAAAATATGGAAGCGGCGTGACCCAATGGACATCAATCTTGCCGTCATTGTTGTCATTTTGATGCAATTCAAAGACAATGGAATCGGGATCAATGACCCATCGCTGTGGAAACTCTTCAATGATTCCCTTGTCGCGGAAGAGTTCTGTCATAAAATTGAAAGAATGTGTTACAATATTAGTATAGTGAGCACAATACTAGCTAGTAGGCACTACAGCAGTATTTGCACATTGTACTTACCCGAAGATCCATACATTTGATAACTTTCGTGACAATCATGACATTGATTAATGGATTGGTGCAACTCTTCACCCACCTCAATGTCTCTCAACGCGGCCACTTGCATGCCCTTATTGTTGTTGTTGTTGTTGTTGTTATTGTTCATATCACGAACCACAAAGGTATTGTAGTATTTGGGTCCATTCCGGTGTCGATAAAAGTCGTATATTGGCACCATCATGTCATTGTATTGCAGTTGAACGTATAGCATGGCCGCCTGCTTGGCAACATCATCGGAAGGATCTCCTTGACAGCCATCCTTGCCGTACCAATCTTCGTCGAGCCAACTAAAGGGTTCTTGGGGTGGCAATTCGGATGTGGTATAGGACAATAGATCCATCAAGATTTCCTTGCCAAAATCAGTAAAATCACTGGGTATTTGATGTCTCTTTCGCAATGCCAGATATTGAATGTATGGATTGGTTTCTTCGTCGTTGTTTTTTGTTGTTGTTGTTGCTGCTGCTGCTGCTGCCAATTCATGCGCCAATCGATGCACCAAATCGCAATTGATTTCGGCTTGCAAGACATTTTCATCCATGAGAATAGCGTCCCAGGGAACTTGCAGCAGCAATTCACCCTTTTTAATTGGTTTGGTAGCCACCAGCTTGTTACCGTCGACCAGCCCTTGCTTGTCATTGAAAAATCCATGGTCTAAGGTGGAAATCCAAGCAATTAGATTCTTTGCTGCAATTTCTACATCATTTCCAGCAGCAACAGCAGAGCAATGCTGTAATATTTGTATCACTAGTAGAGCGAGAACAGACTGGTAATAACGATGTCTTCTCATTGTCATCATTGCCATGTGTAATATTTGTGTCGTCGGCGAAGCAATGATGATGAGGATGATGGATGATAATAAGATTAGGGATACAATATGAGAGATGCTGGCAGGCTCTATCAACGCATTTATAATATTCCCCTCAGTCTTTCCCCTTTTTGGACACACCAAAAAGCGAAATATTGAAAATGACTTCTATT